ACAAATTGACGCGGAGCCGCCGCGAGCAACGACTCTGCGAGCCGAGCCGAGCCGAGCTGAACCGTCTAGCCGACAAAAAAAAACGAGCTTCCCTCGTGCCCTCTTTCGTTCTCTTTTCTTCCGTCCACCACGAAGCCCTCCGTGTATTTTCAAACCCCGGTCCCATCCTGTTTTTAATTCCAAACCGGAGAAAAAACAGAGAAAAACTCCTCCATTTTCTCTCCATTTGTTGACTCGTTCTGCGTTTTCTATCGTATTCCGAAAGGGATTTCTATTTTCACCTATTAGCCTAACCGCAACGGATACCAACAAAACGGCCGAACGAACACTGGTAAATCGCAGAAGGAAAAGCAAAGTTAAAAGTTGGCTTGTCTCGGCCGTGCTTAATTATTGCGTAACATGTATCAACGAACCATTACCGTCACTCGTGAAACAGTGGAATTAAACTATGTGCGTGTTTATTGACGCCGAGGGAAAAGAGTGGCGTTCTTTTCGTCTCTGGGAGATTGTATCGATTTAATTAGTGCCGTGTGGTTGAAGAAGCTCACTCGGTTTTGCGATATTATGGATAGAACGATTATCGTGGTATTCGCGATTTATGATATCGTACATGCATAAGTATATGCATAAATACGTGGCTGTCGAACTTCCTAGGACCAGTCGTTTCCGTAATTGGAAGTTTGATCGTTGTACGATCGCAGAAGGGTGGGTATTATGAATTTTAACGAACCGTGAAGCAGGTCTACTTACAACGTGCTAATTAAAAGCGTAATTCTTAATACAAGACCGTGCCTGCACTGTGCGTAATTGCTCAATAAACGTCTACTTCTGAATGCGTATTGGGAAAAAAATATCGGGTTTCCACCTGTTATAAACGTACAACCTAACAAACACCGAAGCAGCGCAAAAAGGACCAACATAAACGATCACTTTCACCACATATATGGCCTGATCGTCACAGGTTCAATCTCGCCGCACCGATCAACCACAAATACCTAACAATAAAACCTACTCCTACTTTTATCCGATCGAACAACGAGCCGTTTAACGGACAACAACCTTGGAACATCCGCGAACAATTACGCTTATACTCCAAAGCATAAAGATAACAAAGTAAAGGTACTAACCACTGTAACATGAAAAAAAAGGAATTATAAAAGTAGCGTCCTCTTTTTTGTACGGGGGAAAATTAAAAGCGGTTTCAGCAGGTTCTAAAAAGGGGCGTGCGGTTTGTCTTTCGTGCAA